TTATAATTGTATTTTTGTATAAATAGGATGAAAACTTATTCTTGTAAAAGGATAAAGATAACAGTGATAACTTAATAGTTCGAGTTTAAGACTTAGAATTCAAGGTTAAAGATTGCTAAGGATACAAAATCTCTACAATAAAGGAATCTCTTTCTAAACTACATATATTAAAAATCCTTTAACATGTCAATTGTGTTTATCGTATTTACAAAATTGTTAAAGTTATTTACTCGTCTAAAAGTATAAACCTAAGATTAATTGTGATAGGACTTATTCCACAGTAACTTAGTAGTTTCCCGCATGTTACTCCTTGTTATTAAGTTATAGTTGCCCTAAGTTCAACGGTTAAGCGTAGGATTAATAACATTTAAGAAAATAGCTGATTTATTATTATAAAGCTTAGATTGAAAATGATCCTAAATCTATTCTTATAGAATTTGATGATTTTTCGTAAGAAACTGAATATCCTTTTGATGACAGATTCATTTTTCAATTTGGAGATGATATTTATAAATATTGGTATTAGATTTGAAGTGTATATCTAGAAATTGGAACTGTTAGAATACATTTATTTGAAATTTATGTTTATGCTGCCTCAGTAGAAAGATTATGAGATTTCTTTACACAAAAAACAGAAATCAGTTAAAGGTAATAAAAAGATTTAAATTTATAAATTTTATTAAAAATTAATTATTTTATTTTATTATTATACAGTTTTTTAAAGTATTAGATATAGCAAAATTATGAGCTAGTATTATCTATAATTGATGTAAAGAAGAATCAAATTCAACTATAGTTTATATTAATATTGAATTAGAAAAATTAGAATTACTAAATACAAATTTAAATGAATAAAATAAAAGATCCTATTGATAGTGAAAATGCATTAGATACAAAGGCTAATATAGTAGATAAAAATAATGATAAAAGTGATTTTGATGATGATATTGAAGAATCACAAATTCAAGATCGATTAGATAATGATTAGAAATGCTTTAAGAAAGTAATGAAAATGAAAATGATTTAAATTTAGATCTTAATATTAAAAGTATTGATTATTCAGCAGAAAATAGTAATGTAAAATAGGATTTAAAAATTATGTTTAAAGATAATTTGCATTGTCCTTTTTAAATAAAATAAATAAATAAATTATTATCAAATTTTAATCACGTAATTTATATATTTTTGTACTAAATACTAAAAAAAATCTAGTATATTATATTAGTACTTAGTACAACCAATTAAAATGAATGACATCACATGTACTATTACTATGTACTAATTTTAAAACTTAAAAAGTACAGTACAGTACTAGTAAAATTCTTAACCCTGGATATATGTATTATATTTCTTAATAATTCTCTTATTGATTAAGAAATATACAATAGTACAATATGTTTAATTACTGATGTAAATCCTTCAAAACTAAGTATATAAGTTATTTTTTCTATTCAAGATTCTATACTAGACTTAAATATTTATAAACAAACTCATTATTTTGAAATCAATGAAAACAATTACTATTGAACTCAATTTTCTTTACAAAATTATTTCACTCTTACTATTCATAAATCTCAAGGATTAACTTTACCTAAAGTCACACTTACTTTAGATGAAAATATATTTTTAACTGGTTAAGCTTATATTGTTCTTAGTAGATATCCTAAATGGAATAATATAAAGATATTTTATCTTAATAGATCTGCTTTTATAACTGATCCTGATATAATACTAGAATACTAATGATTAAAAGCTATATCTAGAATAAATTTTTATCTATTTTTATAATTTACTCATTAATAATTTATTTATTTATCTTAATTAATAACTAAATTTATTTTAATAAACATTTATAATTTATATAAAAAAATAAATCTCTTTATAATAAAAAAAAATTATTTTTTCTTTATTTTATATTTTATAAATAAAAAAACAATATATAATTTTATTTATTATTTATTTATTAATATTTATAAAATATTTATTTATATTATTGATTACTAATATATATTTTATTTTTTTATTATAAAAAAATCACAAAATTTTCTACAATTAAATCAACTAATAAAATATAATAAGTAAAACTACTAGACTATTATAATATTAAATTATTCTATTTTTACATGCCTGCTATGAATATTAGAAAAAAAAGTATTGGCTAGTTATTTATATCAATAGATTATAATATTAATTTAATAATAAATTTTATTTTTATTATATTAAACATTTATTATAATAGTTACTATTTATAATGGTATTATTTTATCATAATACAAAATTTGTTATAATAGAATGATTATTTTTTATAATTGTATTTCTATTAATTTTATTATAATGATTTTATATAGCAGCATTTTTTATTTAGACTAAAAAAATTTGATTTATAATTTTATAATATGATTATTTTTATTATAAGAAATTTATTAAAAATCTTATATAATCTAATTTTAACTTTTATTATATAAAAAAACTTAAGAAATTAGTATACAATCAACTTTTGATATAGTGAACTCTTGATATAATAAATTTTTTAAACAAATATAATAAAAATACTCTTGTTATAGCAAATTGATCAATAAAATCTCTTAAAATTTTTACTATAGTCTTATAGTGAAGTTGAGGTCTAGGACATAAAGTTCGTTATAATAAGAATTAACTGTATATTATCAAATAACATTTTAAATTAATTTTCAGCTAAATTTTGATAATATTCAAGTAACATTCGTCATTTACTTTAATAATATTTTATAACTTCAAAAAATGTATCATTAATAAATTCATGATTATATTATATAATTATTTAATATATGTTAATTATTAAATTATTATAATTTATTAATAATCACTTAATCATATAATAATGAATTATAGATTTCTGCAAAGTAGTTACAATTCTATAATATTTATTTATTATCAGTTACAACTAGTTGTAATTTATCTTTAATAATTTATTTATCAATTTTATTTTATATGTATTTATAAATATTCATTACATATAATCAATTTTTAATATAACAAATTTTGATATAATAAATTTTATAATATGGAAGGCGGTCAGTAAAAGAAGAAGATACACTTTTTAGTAGAAATTTTTTTATTGTTAACTCTGCTGATCATGGTTATGTAAATAAAACTAGCTTAATAACTAAAATTACTTAAAATTTATAGATTTCTCCTTTTTCTATTAACTGTTCCTATATAACAAATTTTAGTATAATATAGATTTTTACAAATTTTATAAATAGATATATATAAAATGATATTTTTTTAACAAATTTATTTATAACAATTTTTTTTAAAACAATTAAGATTTTGAATTTTTTTAGCTATTCATTTATTATATAATTCACAAATCTAATAAATAAAAAGAATTAAATAAAATTATTAAATAATTAAAAAAATAAATAATATAAAAAGTATCTTTGATTTAAAATTTTATTACTGTATTTTTTTGAAAATAAGTACTCTTTCATTTTATATAAGATTCATAAATAAGTATCCCTTTACAATTAAGTTTTTTACTATAAATATATAATTGTATAATTATAATTTTATTAATTTTTATAGCAATAAATATTTATATTAATGAAACTAATATTAAAGTATTATATATATAAAATGTAAATTATAATAAAAATTAAAAAAAATTACATAATATTATCTTTACCAATAACTTTGTTATCATCATTAATTTTATCATTATTATTAATATTATCATTATTATCAATATTATCATTATTATTAATATTATTATTATTATCAATATCATAATTAATATCATAATCACTATCATCATTGATATCATTACAAAAGCTTTGAATCTGAGTTCAAATCATTAAAAATTTTTATATTTTTTAAAGAATTTAAAAATATCTTTTATAATAATATCCTCTTAAGTATATTTAACTTATAAATATATATTATTAAAGTTAATATAATAAAGATTTCTTGCAGTAGTTTTTTCTACTTTATCACTTGCTATCTATGTATATTATTCTTTATAGAGATTATCTTTAAAT